CAGGTGGAGACCAACAGCATTTAACAGAGATAATGACACTCAGTGCAGCACAGTGCTACAGCCCCATTAACAGTAAATTCTCTGTACAAGTGGGATCCAGGAAGGCTGATACCCGAGGGGGCATTGCTTCTGCCCAGTGACATTAAGGTGCTGTGTCACCTGGAGTGACAGGGCTGGCTGGGGCTGATGTGTGTGGGCCAAACAGCCCTCTGGAAGGTAAAGCCTTTCCCTGCTCTGGCTTTGCACTAAGCTTCTTTAAACTGGAGTGAACTCTTAAAAGAGCACTTTCTGCTTTGGCTTTTTGGGATTGGGTCTTCTGCTGGCCTCGGCTCCTTTCCTTAGCCTGCCTCACCCCTGAGATAATTCAGGAGCTTTCTCCAGCACTTCAGAAGTTGTTCTGCCTATGTGAGCACTCAACATTGCACGCTACAGCCCAAACCCAGCATCCAGCCAGGGCACAGAGCTGACCTCTGCTCCTTTGAGTAGACACGGAAAAGAACATGCCTGATTGCTTTCAGTCTGGGGACTCTGTGGCTTTGCTGGTCATTCAAGGAACTTGACGATGGATGACGTAAAGCAGGTGTAAAAATAACCCTCTGCAGAGCTGGCATCACAAATGGTACAGTAATTTGTTTTATGCCAGTTTTCTACTGGGAGGGAGACCTCTATATATGAGGCACCAGGCACCCCTACAACACCAACCAAGAATTTATCTTCCACAGGAAATACTAGCCATGGAAGTAATAGTTCCAGCTTAACTGAAAATGGGAGCAAGACAGATGGCTTTGGTGCATCCTTTCCAAGGCCTTTTAAAGAAGGCTGCTTAAGAGTTTGGGAAAGGCAGCATACCATGGAAACTGGAACACTGTGGCCTGCACAAAATTTCTGGCTGATGCAGATTTTCAGAAATGCCTTGATCTGGGGCTAAAGAGGTTAAAGTAGCAAAAGAAATTGGCAGTGAAGGAAGAAAAAAGAGACGCTCTTCTCCAAGGATCTACCCTGTGTGCCTCTTGCTTTCCAAAGAGGCAATTTCACTTGCCAGGACTATTGATCCAGGGCACTTGTTTGCAGCATCAAGCCATATATAGCAGTTTTAGAGGAAAATCATTAGACTGTGACTGATTGGAAAAGTTACCCTCAGTTTAGTTTTAGCTGAGCTCAGTTCCTCCAAGCAAACAAAACACAGGCCGGTGATTAGCCGCCAGTTGAGAATCTCCTCGGATCTCTGTGCAACCCTTAGAGCATCACACAGCAGGTGATGCTGCAGGGAGTCTGCCTGAAAAAGAAACCCCCACACAATGGGGAAATGCTGTGTGATGAGCTGTCAGCCTCCCTACCTATCAGCCTCCAGGACATGCTGTTCTTGGAAAAGCATCTTACTGTTTGAATCCAAGGCTGGATTTTGATGCTCCTTTTTCCTGTTGCAGGGCAGGAGGAAGGGTGTCCAAATGCAGCTCGTGATGCCTCTCATGGCATGTTTGGATAGAAAGTGTTCTCCTTGTGCTGGTAGCTATTGTTTGTACCTATTTTACAACAGCACAGTCTTCTCCACCCTTGAAGGTATTTAATGGAAGATTCATTCCTGATGCTCCCTTTCCTGATTTGTTTGCTTTAGGATTTTTTTAGAAACGTGGGCCTCATGCTTGTGGCATGCTGGTGACTTTGGCTTGCCCTGTTTATTCCATGCTTCACATTCCTAGTCTGCAAAGCCAGTGGTCGTTTCTTCCTCTCTGTAAATCACACTGAGATTAGGCAAAGAAAGGTGATCCAAAGGAGATAGCAATTGGAAACAAAAGCATATTTCCTTTCTAATGAATAATAATGCTTGAGTGTCTTGTCTCCCTCCAGTTTGTGCCTCAAAAAAGTGAAAGTGATTTATTTAATTTCTCATTTTCTTGGTGTCTCTGTGGGCTTCATATGGTTATGCTTTCATTATTGAATTAGTCTTACACTGTGTTTGCACGAGTTCTATGCAATGCTATAAAATTCCTATTTTGTGTTTCTCTTATAAGGAGGAAATTATAAGTTCTGGCCCCTATCTTCGCTGTGGTACTGCTGAGGGAAGACAAGAATAAGTCCATGACTGTTTGATTGTCTCATTTTCTCTGTCTAAAGAAATGCTTAGGGTCTGGTTAGCCCTCTTTTTTAAACCTCTTTGGTAAAAATCTGTGTTTGATCTACTCAGCTGAGGTGGGTCTCTCCTTGCTGAGCCTCAACACCCCTCAGTTTCCCAGTGGATGAGCAGTGTTCTACTAGACCTTCAAATGTTGACCAAAAGGGAATGTTGTTGTGGGTGGAGCCAGTCTATCAACATTGGATCTGGAAAGGGAAGCTGGCCACTTATGTAACATTAAAAAAAATATTTACAATTGGAGGAGATGCAAATACATGCATACACATGTCTATGCGTATAAATTTATTTTTATATGTTTTCTATTTTTTTCCTGAAAGTTGAATGTTGGGGGCTAACCTGGGGATAAATTTTGTGTGGATTTAAGGAATATGGAGCATTTAAAGTAGACTGACTCCTCACTGGCTAGCCTGGCATACTGAACAAGTAAGGTTGCCTCATCCTTTTCTTCCCCAATCCCCTTTTTAATATATACATCTCTTTTCTATTAGAAAAAGAATTTTCAGTCCCTCATGCTCAGAATAAAACTTACTGCAGTGCACACAGTCTGTGCACACTGAAGTGTTCAAAATGGGATTTTACAGGCATGTGAGTAATGGAATAAACCTTCCCTTGGCTTTACTCCAAAAGGCTGAAATCCCTCATTTCGCTGCAGTTCCTCTCTCATTCCCACCATCCACCCTGCTATTCATGGCATGCATTATGGTGAGAAGTTTCCACCTAGGAAAAAGAGCTCCCCACCTGCTGAACCTTGTCAGCTCACCCAGGGAGAGAGCTCTCGAGGGAGGCACCACGGAGTGGTGTGAGGTGCTCCATTTAACCTGACAGCATTTAAGAGATGAGAACCCAGACCTTGGAGTTCAGATTTCTTGTTAGCATGATAATCCCAGATACTGGCAAAACCTGCTAAAAATCTATTTTTGTGCTCGTCCTTTCCCTCCTGGCCCAGTGGTATGTCTGCAGCCACACCTTAGAGCAAACGTGATACTCCTACAAAGTTTCCACTGTTGCTGTCTTCCTGTGCCCACAGGGACTCACAGCTACACCACAGGTGTAATAGTGTAGCAGGGCTTTCCTTCACGAGCCTCAGACTCTCTCATAATTGCTCTTATTCAGAAAAAAGGCAAAGGAAGTCAATTTAGCTCTTCATGTTGCAAATGAGTCATGCAAATTGCAGCAGTCAGAGGAAAAATAGGTAATCCCGGAGCAGAGTGTCAATTTGGTCATGTGGATAAAAGGGTTATTGACAAGCAGGAGCTACAGAAGAGCTTGTGCTGAAGGAGGTGGCTCGGTGGCATGGATGTTCCCTGGAGAGGGGGTAGGAAATCCTGATTAGTTGTTAGGCTTTGCTCCAGATGCTCTGGGGGAGGGGGAGCTGTTAGCTGGGGCACAGGCCACAGAGCTGTGGGCCAAAGGCTGGGAGAATAAAGCTGTGAGATGATGCACAGTGTTCTGCTCTCCGAGTGCAAAATTAATTTGCAGTTACAGGTTTTTTAGCACATGTCATTGGCATCTTCTCATAGCAACGGGCCACATGATTCTCACCAATGGCAAAACCTCAAAAATAGCACTGATAAGAGAGGGGCTTAGGGTGCCACTCCCCATCCTTGAAGCTGACTTTTGGGCTGGTTCTGAACTGCTCTTTGACAGATCCATCCCAAGATGGTTTCGTTTGTTTCTGCAAAAAATATTTGTCACATGATCTTAGAGTGAATGCTTTCACAAGCAACATTCACTGCTGATTTCCCTGGAAGTTAACCAGAGACTTTACAGCTGAGGTCCCAGCTCTCAATGGAAAAGGACCAATGGTTCCAGTGGAGCTCATGCTGCTTTGTAGATCTCTGCACACAGCTCAGAGGAGGATCCAGACCTTCCTTTTACAGTCCTGCGTAAGAACCTTAGTTTTACTTCTAATAAGCAAGGGTTCTACATTGCTATATTATGCTTTACATGCTTCGCTAGTAATTAAAAGTAATTTGGAAATGGTATTGGAAAGGAGTGAGGATCAGGTATATGGAATCTGTTGACTGTCATGAACCTGATTGGCACAGGGTTCACACAGAAGAGGCAAGCCTGCTTAGTGAGCACAGGAGTTTCTGAAATCTCTTCCTGTAGCGTTGCTTTATCTGTAGAGCATACTTGTTCATGGGGTTTTATTTATTTATTTATTTATTTAATGTCTTTCTATTTTGGATTGCATTACCTCAGGGAACTTTTGCAGGCAGAAAACAAACAACTGTCTGTGCATAATTCCTGCAGTAATTTCTGTATAGCCACAGACCTCAACCTTTTCTGTACTTTTTAATCTTATTGTCACTGTCAGCTCTTGTGCTGAAACATGCTGATGCTATTCTCTGAAGTTTTCATTAGTGTCCCCTAATGAAGAAAAGGGAGAAGCAAGGAACAAGATGGGAGTACAATTAACTTTACGAAGGAGCTCCGTGGACGTCTTTGCCGCTGGGTGCTTTGATTCTGAGCGCACCAAATTGAGATCAGCGGGGGAACAGACTGGAAGCGATCAGCGAGCAAGCGGGGCTGTAAGAAGACGAGGGCAGCGCTGGGTGCCCGGGGCACCTGTGCTGGCCCGGGCAGGTGTTGGCGGGGGCCGCGGGGCGCGGCGGGGGCGCGGCGCCGCCATTGGCCGGCAGCGGGCGGGGCGTGGCGGCGGGCGTGGCCGGCCAGGAGTTTCCCACAATGCCCCGCTGCAGTGCGGCCGCCGATGGATGCTGCGCGGTCGCGCTGCCATTTGCAGCCGCCGCGGCTCGCAGCGCGCCCCGCGGCCCCGGGAGCTGCGGTCCCCCGGCCGCCGCCGCCCCCCAGCGCCTGCAGCCGCCGGCCGGCCCTCCCCTGCCCCCGCCTCCTCCTCCTTCTCGGCCCCGCTGCCCCGCCGCAATGAACCCCCCCGCGGCAGGCGGGGAGGAGACGGGGGCGGCGGGCGGCGGCGGCTGCCGGGGGGCCGAGGGTGGCGGGGAGGCGGCGGGCGCCGCCGGGATCCCGGAGGAGCAGGGGCTGTCGGCGGCGGACGAGTCGCTGGAGGAGAAGCTGCGGAGCCTCACCTTCAGGAAGCAGGTGTCCTACAGGTGGGTGCCGGCCGGGCGGGCGCCTCTCGGCGGGTGGGGAGGCGGCAGGCGGGTCCGACGGTGCTGCCTTCACGCCGCTGCCTGGCCGCAGCACCGCCGGACTCGCCTGACACCCAAGGGGCTGCTTCTTCATTCCGAAGTCTGAAAGCTCTCCCAGATCTGCGTTCCCTTAAACCAGCGAGCGAGCGGCTCTCAGCCCTGCTGCTGCCGTCAGGTTTAGGGCGCTCCCGGTGGGGAGCGTGACGGGGAATGTGGGTGAACTTCAGAGTTACTCTGAGCCAGAGTCGGGGCTCTTGCTCGGCTGGCTAGGGATTAGGGCTTGCCCTTTTCAGTGAAAACACAGCCGCCCGTGATCCCGGCGCCTCCAAACGTTCGTTAAGGGGATGGGAAAAGCCTTTCTGGCGGCACCGCTGCTCCCGGGATGAGCTGTCTGTGGGAATTCTCCCGGAATGCAGTGTCCCCTCCCTGCCTGCTCCCCACCCGCGCCGGTCGCCGTTGCATAAGCCCCAGCGGCTGATAAGATAGGGGGGCTGCTGTGCCCGGCACCCCACGCGTGGCTGTGGGCTGGGGGCTGCCAGCAGGCAGCCACCGGGTGCCACGTGCCCTGCTACGGCCTGAGCAGGATGTTACTTTCATAATTAGGGTTTTCTGTTTTTATGGCTGTGCTTTTGCTTCATGTGTCTGATGTCAAATAAATGTTTTTGTTCCTCTTGTAAATACACCTGCGTGAAGGGGCCGTCGCTGGGGCTTGTCTGCTGTTCTGTTACCAGTTAGGAGCTGCTAATTGCCAGCATCTGCCAAAACGGAGTGCTGTCTGAGAAGGTCCATGCCAAAAAGTTTTTGAGTCTTAACTAATTCTAGTTGCAGAGCCCCTGTGGAGGCAGCACACCATCAGTAACTCATGTTCTAGTGTGCTTAGGGATGAGCCCTCTCAGCTGGGAGGACAGAAAACACAGAGATGTTACTTGTCTCTGCAAGAAAAGGGTGTCTCTAGCCACAAGTATATTAGCTGAAGACTCTCCCCGGCCATGGGGATGCTTAAATGTGCTGTCAATTTACAGCTGGGATAACTTAGGAGCTGGTCTAAGCTCTGCATGTGGCAGGGTTTAAAGTTGATGTAATTAAACACTCTTCATAGCTGAAATTTTATATAATACTTGATCTGTGCAGAGAGACATTCCCCAATCAGGGCTGATGATCCCAGCAGTGTGTGAAGTATGGGATGATTCGTTCTAGACTCAGAAAGGTGAGTGATGTAAAAAGGAAAATGACTGAATACCTCTGAAACAAACATTGCATCAGTCAGCTCTTGGTACTTCTGCATCTCTACCCAGACAAATTTCTTATCTTGTGCCATTTAGGGGCAAATCTGTTGCAGGTAAAGTCTGAGGTGAGCTGCTGAAATAAAGTGGCTGCTAACAAGACAGGTCTGCTCAGGTGTTTGCTCTTGGGACAGAAAGAAAGGAGTTTGCAATAAGCCTTCTGCCTTTTTTGGGGCTGGCATGAGGGTAGGGAAGAGGCGATAGTAAAATATGTTTCTTATGTTCTGCTGTCTAGGTTGTTGAGGAGTGTGTTAAAGTTGTGGGTATTCTTGAAGTTTTCTGCATGGTCAATATTTGTAAGGGTTTCATATTAGATGCTTTTAGGATGAAATGTAGAGTTTTTTCCTCCTTCTCCTCTCCTTTGTCTATGCAAGCATATAACAAGTCCTGAACTTTCAAACCCTTTTCTTAAACATCTCTTGATGCATATCACTCATTCTACTTGACTTAAGATAGGTGCAAGAAAGTACGTTTTCTTTGCACCCGTGGATTTCCACACTTTTTATGGCTGGTTTCCTACAGATAATATTCACTTTATCATTTATCCATAATGAGAACAATCTGGTTAGATAGAAGGCCACACAGGATCTCTACTGAGTTCTCCACACCCTGCAACCCCAGTCTCTTTAAATTGCTACAATTTCTCTCAGTAAATTATGGTGCTGAAATACATTTGTGAATGTAAATGGCTATATTAGGTCCAGGAAAACCTATTTACCTTGGCACTTGGACTCCCTTACCCGCTAGCACAATAGAAATTATTCAAGCTTCGTAGAGCCTTTCAAACAGCTCATTTAGGGCTCTCTATGCAGGTGCATTACATTGCCATACACACCTGTAGAGCTGTTTTTATACATTCAGGAATAAAACCCCAACAGTTGGAACTTGCTTAAAACAATAAAGGTGCATGAAAATGCATATAAAAGAATAAATCTATTGGTGGTGGTTGAAGGAGTGGAATGGGAGGTCAGGGTAGTGTTACAGGGGAGAAAAGGAAGAAAAACTTCTGTACCAATGTTATTAAACTGTAGTTTGCCTGAGTCTGGGCTTAACATATGATCTTCTTTTTAAATTTGTTGTTAAACAGGAAATATCCTCATCGCTAATTAGCTGATGTTGTTGCATGCAAATAACTTGTTAATTTCTCTAGAATTGTACCAAAACTACGAGTAACATGTTCAGAAACCAATGTTTTGTACCGATGTGGCCTGTAGCTTGAAATGCAGAAGCCGCTGTATTAAATATGTCATAATTTTGTGTAGCAAATACCAATGTAGGTGTGTTTGTCCTCCGGCCAAACCAGCAGGAGGGAAAACTTGCTTTAAATAACGCAGGTATGCCTCGTGGGGAGCTTGAAAATTCCCAGGACCATAGCCATATCCCCTTGCACCTGGCAGTCCGCAGAGCTCCTTGTCTGCCCCGGGAGCTCCGCTCGGAGCAGATCTGCGCTGCAATTGGGGACACACAAAGGGTGGGGATGCTCCACTTTGCCTGGGGATGTGGCTGTGCGGGAGCTGATGGCTTCAGAGCGGGGCTGATCCGTGTCCGTGCGCTGCAAGATCCCTTGAGCGGATCTTCCATCGCCCCCAGCGCCGGTCCTGCTCTTGCAGCACCTGTCGCTGTGCAGACCGAGTGACAGCCAGACAAATCTCCCTTTTCAGGGAGAAATCTCTCTGTTCATCTCTTAAACTAGGCTGACCCACCCTATGGTTGGATGCCAGCAGCTAAGCAGCAATTCTTAGCCCTAATTTATTTTTTACCCTGCAGATATGGAGTTAAATATCTTAATGATGTTTTGGCTCTTCTGCTGAAAATCTGAAATATTGGCTCACAAAATGAAAAACTTTTTTTATTTTTTTGTAAACTGATAAAACCAAAAGTTCAGTTTCCCGTCCCGCTGTGAAAAGATTGGCAAATGAAAACTGAAAAGTGAATTAAATATGTACATCTACCAGAGAGAAATTATTTTTACAGTTTTGTTCTCAGAATAGTATTTACCCCATATATTTCTAGACCCAGCAGAATATTTACAAGATACTGGAACAGAAAGCTGTGAGGTCATTTTTTGTTTCCCTTTAATTTTTATTATTTTGTCATTGCAAAGTTTGTGAGGAACCTTGTGGTGTCTTTTAGACTAAGTTGCTTTCCTGAAGTAATTCTTGATATAAAGAGAAATTCAGATTATACCAAAGATGGATGCTTATTAAGAATATACAATAAAAAGCTAAGGTAAGAGGAAACCTGGAAAATAAAGCATTACCTGGTACTTTCCTGCAAGTATTTGCACCTCCAAAATCTAATCTGAAATGCAGTCTTGGCATTTAATTAAGCTTAGAGAAATAGTAAAAGTAATAAATAAATGAATAAGAACCCCAACCAAACAAAAGATCATCCCTAAAAATCAAAACAACACAACCTAAAGAGCAAGCTAACTGAAACAATCAATAGAGCAAATGGTTTTTAATTTCTTAATTAATTATTATTTAGAATTTCAGGGAATCTGGATTAGTGGCATTGGAAATAAAAATAAAATTGTAATTTTTAATGTCCCTCTTGAGAGAGCTCAGGTGATGTTTGGCAAACACTTGTCACCAGAGAATAGTTTTCCTAGAGAAATGCAGTTTCATTTTGACCAGGTTGAGAAATCCTGACTGAGGCAGTGGGTGGCAGGCTTTAGAAGTTTTGCTCCTCTTTGAGCCAGGAATTTCCAAGTGTGGGGCAGTAATGGACCCTCTCGGAGTCCTGTGCCGCTGATATCTCCGCGGCTCGTGTCCTGCCTTTGGGCAGCGGGAATTCCTGCGGGGAGTCGCGCCCTGCCCGCTCGGTAAGGAGGAGGTTGGGGCACGGCTTTCCTCAGCTCCCCTGGCCCGCTCCGCTCCTGGAGCAATGAGTCCCTGTGAGCGGGCACCACCTCAAGGAGCTGCTTTGAGCTCTCTTGGCTGAAGTTTCTCCCCGGCTTGCCAAATGAATCTGTTTGGGATGTGCCTTGCGTGCTTTCCCGACCCTTCCTCCGAGAGCCGGAGCCAAGAATCGAGCTGGCCTCTCCCCCTGCTCCATCAGCAAGAACTGCTTGTCTGCCGTGGCACTAAGTAACCGGAGTTATAATTAGAGGTGGTTTGTCACTGTGTTTGAAGGGGAAAAAGTTATGGCAAGGAAATTCTGGGAAATCCTTATTACACAAACCCTGTCACTGTTGATGAGCGTTTAAGTACCTGAGACTACAGATGGGGACCAAAGTAGAAATATAAACTTGGAAACATCCTCATTCTTTTTGTTCTTTTGTTTTCAGACATGGTAACAGTCATAAGACACACATCACTTCTCAGTAAATATTAAATATAGGCAGGATAATTGAGGTGTCTCCTATTACTAAGGCTTAATTGTTTTGTGAAATGTGACAGCATTCACTAGTGTACTGTGAAGTATTATAAATAACTTAAGCTGAATGACATTTGTAAAAATGAAAACACCCAACACAAGCCTTTGATCTTTTGATTGTGTTGTTTTATTTTACCTAAGTTTCTTTGAATCTTAACACATTCAAATGCTATAAATGAGTGCAGCTACTCTGCATGAAAATGATGGATGGGTTTTTATTTTCTACCAAACGTCAAGGAAATAATTCTCGCTCTCTGGCCTAATCTCAGAGGATCTGCATGCAACTGTCTTTGTTAGGAG